TTGAAATCATAACGGTTCTCTAGATATAGAGCGGACACAATTTGTTAAGGACGGACGGACAGACTGATCACTATAGGGCGTCCGCCATTCGGCGGGGCCCTAATGAAAAGATGACGCAAAGGCATACATATATATATATATATAGGACTAGCTTGACCCATAAAAACATGTAGCAAATTAATTTCTTCAAGTACAAAAATATATGTATTAGAGTAAATTGTATTTTAAGTCGATAAATCTATATGTGCTCCTTTCTTAAACATTATTTACATAGTATTCATAGTGACATTCACCCTTTAATATTCATACATGACAATGCAGTAAGGGTTTTGCTCATTGTTGAAGACCGTACGCGGTACCCTATAGTTGTTAACTTCAATGACATATGGTCTCGGGCTGGTGGAGAGTTGTCTCATTGGCAATCATACCACATCTTCTTATTATTATATATGCTGTAGCTCTGGTTCCTTAACTGATTTGGGTCCTTTTCAACATTTGTATTAGCTGTGGAGTCGCAGTCGCGGATCCAGGGGGGTGGGTGGAACCCCCCCCCCCCTTTTTTTTTTGACGATCAATGCATTTGAATGGGGACATTTAGTTGGAACCCCCCCTTTATCCAGGGTTGGGAACCCCCCTTTTAAAAATGGCTGGATCCACCCCTGAATCATGACACATATGATTCTTGTGATTTGATTCGACCCTCAGTTTTAATGATATGAACTATTAAATCAACCAACTTGCTAGATGAGCACAGTATTATCAGACTTTAAGGTAAGCCTCTATAGAAACTGGTGAAAATGAATGTTATGTCAGATAAATCCCCCCCCCCCCCTCCCCCACAAAGAATTTCAAATACTTGTTCCCTTCAGACCTGTGCAATTAAGATGCGAACAACATATTCAACTTTCTGGTAAACTGGATAGACCTTATCGCTATTTGTCTGTCATTTCTGGACATCACAAAGGTTCCCGTAAAATTTTGACTTCACAATACAAAATGTGTGACGCCACAAAGGAAAAGTGATTGTTGTATAACGTCAATACTTCAAGTGTAGCAGATTATCAGGTCAAGTGTTCTGATATTCAATTAGCGATATGGTCTATTGTCTCCTGGTACGAGGAAAATTCTCCCTTACAAACCTGAAAACCAGTAATTCATGGAATTTCTTTTGGTTTATATGGCTTTTTTTGGTGAGGCATTTTTTTCAGGGCGAATTCAGTCTTTGAAAAGCTTCTTGACTTTCTAGACCGAAAATCAATCTTAAATCAAATTTCTTATACTTTACATTGCCTGTATTAAAATTGTAACTTGTAAGGCCTCTTACCAGTGATGAAATTTACTGGTGTAGGCTAGGTTATATGGCTAGTGGTGAACAAATTAATTTACCTGACTGATTTTTATATTGGCCATGGCAGTAGGGCTTGTGGTTAATCGTAATTAGAGACATAGTCTTGGTGGGGTGTCATGTGCATCAGATTTTTGTCAAATCTATTTATTTCTCTGCGGAACAGCTTAATCCCGCATTGCATGATACATGTAGGATACATATTTTTAAAATAAATGAAAAAGGAAATGGATGTCCCAGATGCTCACCGCTACTACAAAAGGATCGAAGTGCTATATGCACATATCATTGGCCAAATGAAGGACATGTCCGAATCAGTGTTTTTAAAACTTCTCAGAAAAATATTGACGGAAATGAGGAATGAGTAGTGAAAAATAAATGAAAACGGAACGGCTCTGATTCTAAAAACGGATGTTAGATATACTGCACATGTATATTTGGGTTAAGATGCATACGATGTTATATTTTTGTCCAGTTTCCCCATGTTAAAAAATTAAAATGAGAAGGCATTTACCTTACAGCTTCATTTTCCAGCGATGCTGGAATGTATAAATGATATAAAACAAGGTAAGCGTCTTGGACCTACTTTATCTCTTTATTCGGATACTTGCGGATATCTTCTCAAAGTTCAACAGGAATATTAGAAAAGAACCCGGATAGAACCAAGAAGTTGGGTTTCTATAACCAAACAACCCGGATGTTGAACCAGTTACCATGTCCTAATTTGGTGTAGATAAAACTTCTAGAAAAATATAGACGGAAATAAGGGATGAGTGGTAAAAAATAAATGAAACTGACAGTTTCTTTCCGACTGATTTAAAAAGAAAAGGATGTGCGATATACTGTATATCTAGGTTTATGGAAATATCATAAGATTCTATATTTTTGTCTAGTTTCCAATGTCAAAATAATTTAAATACAAAGATATTTACCTCAAAGCTTCATTTTCCGGCGATGCTGAAATGTTTAATGTTATAAAACTAACACCTCGTTCATATAAGATGTGAATACATGAAAGCTGAACTGATAATCTGTCCTGCTTGAACTATTGATGTCATGCAACAATCATTTTTCAATTGTGGCATCAGATATTTTGTATTGTGACATCAAAATTTTACAGGAGCCTGGGTGATGTCCAGTAATGGCAGACAAATAAAAATAAGGTGTATAGGAAAACATGACCTAATACCTCGTTCATATAAGATGCAAATACATGGAAGCTGAATGAATGAATGTGTTCAATAAGAAAATAATAGTTAAAATGTCAAAATCACAAAACAGCCGTTGGACTTTTGAGCAAATTTGGAGGGAAATGGGGAGTAGAGGGGGTCAAATAGTGTTCAAGGGAAGCAAATGCTCTTTAAATTTTGCGTGTTTCAAAAATTGAGGAAAAATTATAGGGAAGTTGGGTCATCTTTTCAGACTTAAGTTAAATAATGACTAATGTACTTACCTTAATTCTTATTCTATCCGGGATATATAAAAAAATCACAACTCAAAATAGGAACAATAACACTATGTCTACTTTACTTTGACTACTGATCTGCAAACCTACAAACAGACACAAAAATATCATAAAATAGTGAAATATAAGATTGATTGCACTTTGTATGGATAGTTCCCACACGTGTTACATGGGGAGCCGGTTTGTTTACAAATAATAATGTCACGTGATCGCGCACTGACGTCACAATTTTGCATCGCCCTTACAACACACTACACAATTCACACATACATAACCCATTTCAAATAAGTCAAATAATACAAAAATATCGCATGTACAGTTAATGAAGAAATTAGTTCATCAAATAGATAAGATTTTCACTCACGACACAAATCGACTGGGTTAACATTTCTGTCATCGGGGATAATTGATAAATGGGATTAAACTGACCGTCAAGAAGGTCTAGAAAACCACCTCTGGAGAACCTTAACATTAATAAGTAATACTTACCAAAATTACTCTATATTATTAAACGCTATTTAAATGAAATGTCAGACAGATCACGATAGAATACTGATGCAGGCAGTGATGCAGGTTATTTTGGCGCGAAAAAATATTCTTACTCCTATTGCTTGACGTAATAAAATTTGTATAGAATCAAATTTAACTAAAGTTCAGCGTGCACAAAAGTGAATATGCAGAAGCATGACAATATATCAATAATAAAATGTGTATATATTTCTGTAAAAAAAATTGCCAGTATACTTCACTAAGAATTACATTTGAGCGCAAGGAGATCTCTATTTGTCAATTGGTTTGTTAACCCTGGTTGAACCCGGGGTCGAAGTTCAACATGTTAACATAATAACGGAAATTTACCTAATTGCATTCGGAATTCTCATGACTTTTTATACCTTCAACGTATTTTGCATTCAGAATTCTCATGACTTTTTATACCTCAACGTATTTTCCAAATCATTTATTTATTTAGTATATATTAATGGAAATTTACCTAATTGCATTCGGAATTCTCATGACTTTTTATACCTTCAACGTATTTTGCATTCAGAATTCTCATGACTTTTTATACCTTCAACGTATTTTCCAAATCATTTATTTATTTAGTATATTTATATATAATTTACAAGTATGGCAGTTGAAATAAATACACATGTGATTGTCATTTCTTCACATTATCAAAATTAAAATGGTCCCGGTCTTCTGTTTCTGTGCTCTTCAGTAAAAAAACTAATGAACTGAGGTATGATTATCTTCTAGCACATGTCTTTCTAAATTATTTTTGACGAAAACTCTTTGAAACAAAAGCTATGCGTGTACCGAGAGAACTACAACTGGGTCGACGAGATAAAGTGTTGAATACATTATGTTTTGGTATACAAACTAAATGCGGAACGACGCCAGTTCTAAAACCTTGGTGATATTTAGCATATTATGTAATCGAAGTCATCATAGGATAGATCTACCTCTATAATGTATTCCCAATTCAATAATCATCAAAATAAGATAAATTTACCTTAGTGCTCCATTGTCTGGTAACGCTGCAAACTGACACGAGCCAGAGTAACCAGAGTTTAGTCGAAGTTAGTTTATTTATAGCACATTTATCCAAAATCAAACCACGAGTTAGCCAAGGGCGATCCAACTTCATTCGGTCAAAATCATCGCAAAACTCTCCGTTCACTTCATTATTAAAAGTGAGCCCGGATGCTGACACAAGAAGTCGAAATTTAAGTAAATGAGCTCATAAGTTATCCAAAATGTCCTAAGATTGCACAAAAAAAATCCTTTCTAGCCCTTTCATGATGTTCATATTTGTATGACAACTACAGGGCTTCTGTGTGACATGTTGAGAAGAATAAGTTAGTGTATAGGAATCATTTTGATTACAGTTGTTAAATAGGGTACTAAATAAATTTAAAAATTCAAGACATTCGATTTTAGATTTTTTAGGTCCAGACAGTTATATTTATAAATGATTGTTTACACTAGTGCTACAGCATGACAAAAAGTACATTTTTAGTTTACAAAATTTGTAATTTACTTGTATATTAATATATAATATATAAATTTACTTGTATATTAATATATAATATATAAATTTACTATCATAAAACTATTATTTTGTAATTTGATTGTCAGATTTTAACAGTATCAATATTATACAACACGCATTTCATAATTTTGTTTCAGGATTTGTTCACACAACGAGCTGTAGAGATAATAGAAAAAAACAACCCCAAAACGTCGCCGTTGTTTTTATACGTGCCGTACACATCTCCACACTCTCCACTTCAGGTACGTATCGTTTGAAAATTTTATTACCAAAATTGAGATTTTCTTATGACTTTCTTATAGAAAATCTGAAGAATCTGATTATATCGCGATTTTCGACAGTGTATGAATATGTTTTTGTGCCGAATGACGGTAATTCATGGATACAGTTTACAGTTTACGGACGCCAGCTTAATAGGTTCTTAAGATTTTAGTCTTGATTACTTCCATGAGTTTATGGTATATGTGAAACATAGATTTTACTGTCACAAATTAAGTTTACCGAGTTTATGTAGCCAATGTAAGTAAACAGATATTTGCGAACGTAAAACAAAGTTTTTATGGTTTAAGCTTCAAATCCAAGACATTTTTTTTTCTCTATTTTGATGCAAATAAAGATTATAATTTGTATCTGAAATTTTCAAACAACGAGAATTTCTGGAAACAATGTATTATTTTTTTTGGCAACTACACAATGTGACACGTTAAATTGAACGCTTACGTTAAGTTCACGACAAGTTGAACAACCTGGCCCAGGCGTCAAATGTGTACACCAGGCATCTTTGGACGTTGTCAATTCCAGAAGAATGACAACACACAAACAAATAACACAGGGAGGTTAGGATGTCATATCATCAATCTTTTTTTGCATGAGAATAAGTACTTGAACCATTTATTACTAGTCATTCCTTGATAGTTATTGTAGTCATAGTTAAGACCTTTTACCCATGGAAGATTACTGAACATGCAATCTCACTGAAGATGACCAATTGGGAAAAAATATTTGTTCTTTTCCTTTTGTATGTTAACTGTATTGCGGTTGGTTTTTTTTCGGACAGAGTTATTCCTGTCATATAAGTTAACTGTTCGATCCTTTAGTTTTTATCGAACCGAACTATTTCTGTAATGCAAGTGAACTGTCAGCTCCTTTAGATTTTATCTGAATGAGTTATTTCTGTAGTGTTAGTGAACTGTCAGCTCCTTTTAGTTTTATCTGACTGAGTTATTTCTGTAGTGTTAGTGAACTGTCAGCTCCTTTAGATTTTATCAGACTGAGTTATTTATGTCATGTTAATGAACTGTCAGCTCATTTAGATTTTATCAGACTGAGTTATTTATGTCATGTTAGTGAACTGTCAGCTCCTTTTAGTTTTATCTGACTGAGTTATTTCTGTAGTGTTAGTGAACTGTCAGCTCCTTTAGATTTTATCAGACTGAGTTATTTATGTCATGTTAGTGAACTGTCAGCTCCTTTAGATTTTATCAGACTGAGTTATTTATGTCATGTTAGTGAACTGTCAGCTCCTTTTAGTTCTATCTGACTGAGTTATTTCTGTAATGTTAGTGAACTGTCAGCTCCTTTAGATTTTATCAGACTGAGTTATTTCTGTAGTGTTAGTGAACTGTCAGTTCCTTTTAGTTTTATCTGACTGAGTTATTTCTGTAGTGTTAGTGAACTGTCAGCTCCTTTAGATTTTATCAGACTGAGTTATTTATGTCATGTTAGTGAACTGTCAGCTCCTTTAGATTTTATCAGACTGAGTTATTTCTGTAGTGTTAGTGAACTGTCAGTTCCTTTTAGTTTTATCTGACTGAGTTATTTCTGTAGTGTTAGTGAACTGTCAGCTCCTTTAGATTTTATCAGACTGAGTTATTTATGTCATGTTAGTGAACTGTCAGCTCCTTTTAGTTTATCTGACTGAGTTATTTCTGTAGTGTTAGTGAACTGTCAGCTCCTTTAGATTTTATCAGACTGAGTTATTTATGTCATGTTAGTGAACTGTCAGCTCCTTTTAGTTTTATCTGACTGAGTTATTTATGTCATGTTAGTGAACTCTCAGCTCCTTTTAGTTTTATCTGACTGAGTTATTTCTGTAGTGTTAGTGAACTGTCAGCTCCTTTAGATTTTATCAGACTGAGTTATTTATGTCATGTTAGTGAACTGTCAGCTCCTTTTAGTTTTATCTGACTGAGTTATTTCTGTAGTGTTAGTGAAATGTCAGCTCCTTTAGATTTTATCAGACTGAGTTATTTATGTCATGTTAATGAACTGTCAGCTCATTTAGATTTTATCAGACTGAGTTATTTATGTCATGTTAGTGAACTGTCAGCTCCTTTAGATTTTATCAGACTGAGTTATTTCTGTAGTGTTAGTGAACTGTCAGCTCCTTTAGATTTTATTAGACTGAGTTATTTATGTAATGTTAGTGAACTGTCAGCTCCTTTAGATTTTATCAGACTGAGTTATTTCTGTAATGTTAGTGAACTGTCAGCTCCTTTAGATTTTATCAGACTGAGTTATTTATGTCATGTTAGTGAACTGTCAGCTCCTTTAGATTTTATCAGACTGAGTTATTTCTGTAGTGTTAGTGAACTGTCAGCTCCTTTAGATTTTATCAGACTGAGTTATTTATGTAATGTTAGTGAACTGTCAGCTCCTTTAGATTTTATCAGACTGAGTTATTTCTGTAATGTTAGTGAACTGTCAGCTCCTTTAGATTTTATCAGACTGAGTTATTTATGTCATGTTAGTGAACTGTCAGCTCCTTTTAGTTTTATCTGACTGAGTTATTTCTGTAGTGTTAGTGAACTGTCAGCTCCTTTAGATTTTATCAGACTGAGTTATTTCTGTAATGTTAGTGAACTGTCAGCTCCTTTAGATTTTATCAGACTGAGTTATTTTTGTAGTGTTAGTGAACTGTCAGCTCCTTTAGATTTTATCAGACTGAGTTATTTATGTCATGTTAGTGAACTGTCAGCTCCTTTAGATTTTATCAGACTGAGTTATTTATGTCATGTTAGTGAACTGTCAGCTCCTTTTAGTTTTATCTGACTGAGTTATTTCTGTAGTGTTAGTGAACTGTCAGCTCCTTTAGATTTTATCAGACTGAGTTATTTATGTCATGTTAGTGAACTGTCAGCTCCTTTAGATTTTATCAGACTGAGTTATTTATGTCATGTTAGTGAACTGTCAGCTCCTTTTAGTTTTATCAGACTGAGTTATTTCTGTAGTGTTAGTGAACTGTCAGCTCCTTTAGATTTTATCAGACTGAGTTATTTATGTCATGTTAGTGAACTGTCAGCTCCTTTAGATTTTATCAGACTGAGTTATTTCTGTAATGTTAGTGAACTGTCAGCTCCTTTAGATTTTATCAGACTGAGTTATTTCTGTAATGTTAGTGAACTGTCAGCTCCTTTAGATTTTATCAGACTGAGTTATTTATGTCATGTTAGTGAACTGCCAGCTCCTTTAGATTTTATCAGATTGAGTTATTTCTGTAATGTTAGTGAACTGTCAGATCCTTTAGATTTTATCAGACTGAGTTATTTCTGTAATGTTAGTGAACTGTCAGCTCCTTTAGATTTTATCAGACTGAGTTATTTATGTCATGTTAGTGAACTGTCAGCTCCTTTTAGTTTTATCTGACTGAGTTATTTCTGTAGTGTTAGTGAACTGTCAGCTCCTTTAGATTTTATCAGACTGAGTTATTTATGTCATGTTAGTGAACTGTCAGCTCCTTTTAGTTTTATCTGACTGAGTTATTTCTGTAGTGTTAGTGAACTGTCAGCTCCTTTAGATTTTATCAGACTGAGTTATTTATGTCATGTTAGTGAACTGTCAGCTCCTTTATATTTTATCAGACTGAGTTATTTATGTCATGTTAGTGAACTGTCAGCTCCTTTTAGTTTTATCTGACTGAGTTATTTCTGTAGTGTTAGTGAACTGTCAGCTCCTTTAGATTTTATCAGACTGAGTTATTTATGTCATGTTAGTGAACTGTCAGCTCCTTTAGATTTTATCAGACTGAGTTATTTCTGTAGTTTTAGTGAACTGTCAGCTCCTTTAGATTTTATCAGACTGAGTTATTTATGTCATGTTAGTGAACTGTCAGCTCCTTTAGATTTCATCAGACTGAGTTATTTATGTCATGTTAGTGAACTGTCAGCTCCTTTTAGTTTTATCAGACTGAGTTATTTCTGTAATGTTAGTGAACTGTCAGCTCCTTTAGATTTTATCAGACTGAGTTATTTATGTCATGTTAGTGAACTGTCAGCTCCTTTAGATTTTATCAGACTGAGTTATTTCTGTAGTGTTAGTGAACTGTCAGCTCCTTTAGATTTTATCAGACTGAGTTATTTATGTCATGTTAGTGAACTGTCAGCTCCTTTAGATTTTATCAGACTGAGTTATTTATGTCATGTTAGTGAACTGTCAGCTCCTTTTAGTTTTATCTGACTGAGTTATTTCTGTAGTGTTAGTGAACTGTCAGCTCCTTTAGATTTTATCAGACTGAGTTATTTATGTCATGTTAGTGAACTGTCAGCTCCTTTAGATTTTATCAGACTGAGTTATTTATGTCATGTTAGTGAACTGTCAGCTCCTTTAGATTTCATCAGACTGAGTTATTTATGTCATGTTAGTGAACTGTCAGCTCCTTTTAGCTTTATCAGACTGAGTTATTTCTGAAATGTTAGTGAACTGTCAGCTCCTTTAGATGTTATCAGACTGAGTTATTTCTGTAATGTTAGTGAACTGTCAGCTCCTTTAGATTTTATCAGACTGATTTATTTATGTCATGTTAGTGAACTGTCAGCTCCTTTAGATTTTATCAGACTGAGTTATTTCTGTAGTGTTAGTGAACTGTCAGCTCCTTTAGATTTTATCAGACTGAGTTATTTATGTCATGTTAGTGAACTGTCAGCTCCTTTAGATTTTATCAGACTGAGTTATTTATGTCATGTTAGTGAACTGTCAGCTCCTTTTAGTTTTATCTGACTGAGTTATTTCTGTAATGTTAGTGAACTGTCAGCTCCTTTAGATTTTATCAGACTGAGTTATTTATGTCATGTTAGTGAACTGTCAGCTCCTTTAGATTTGATCAGACTGAGTTATTTATGTCATGTTAGTGAACTGTCAGCTCCTTTAGATTTTATCAGACTGAGTTATTTCTGTAGTGTTAGTGAACTGTCAGCTCCTTTAGATTTTATCAGACTGAGTTATTTATGTCATGTTAGTGAACTGT